TTTCAATGATAGCTAAACTCAAAGTTGTACGAGTATTATAATTTTACTTTTTGCAGAAATTTTTTGTTTCAATTTAATTAAAATTGATTATTATTATTATATTAAGATTTTCAATATAAAAGGCTATTAGAAATTAAATTAAGTTATCGCACTGATTAAAATTAACACTGAAAGGTTTATTCTCTTTTACAAGTGATAAAATCAAATAAACCGTTATACGAGATACATTTTTAATTCAAAAACTTCCTTACGACAAGATGTGACGGCAGAGGAATTTTCTGTTTGGCCCAGAAAATCTCGTTTAGTGCTATAAATTATTAAAAAATTAGCGTTGAATACATTATTTCGTATGATAGTTGGACGATGATTAGAAACGAATACATCAACTATACAAAAGTGTTTATTGATTTTTTGATTACTCATTAAAGAGACGATAAGATAAGAATAACAATTAAACAATTAAACAATTGTGATAATACTAAATTATGATGTGCTCTCATTTAAAAGTCTCTTAAATTTTCATTGCATTATTGAAACTCGTGAAAAGATATATTTTCGACTGATGGAATGAATTAAATCATACCTCAGCCGTTAACTTGGTCGATGCTCAACTACTACGAGTCGATGTATCATAGAAATAGTACGTGTCATCCCCACCCCGATACCTTTCATGTATGGCTTCGTTGTTCTATTGTACTCAGTCCATTTTGCTTGTTTCTACTTTCAAAAGATAGAGAATAAAAGACAGGTACTACTAGTATAAGACTTCTTTGTTTTCGTAAGTACTATGTCTTCGTTTATTAAGTAAAAAACTGTTTCTTTAGTTTTCTTTAGTTTTACGAATATTCGAGGAGACTAGAAGCGTGTGAATTTTTCAACATCATCATTAAATTTATATGTTTTATATAGTTGTTGTATTCATTCTAATTCGTCTTTTGCATTTTTTATTTATTTATTTATTTATTTAGACTTTTATCAATGTATGATTGAGACGAAGCATAATATCATTATTTTTATTTGGAAAATTAAAAGTTTTCTGGTAAAGTTTGGTGTAGCAGTGAACGATCTATTAAATCAGGCCATTCAAGCGAGTTTAGCAATATCTTTACGCTTTCGTAATAAATCGTCTGTTAGTTGCATTAATACTTTGCAATAAAATTAAAAATGATTAAATTACACGAAAATATATTCTAACGCCGTAAAGAAGTAAAAAATTCAAAATAGCAAAGTTTTGTGAAAAAAAAAAAAAACATCATCTTCATAATACGACGATAAGAAAATTATGGAAATATTCATTAATCTTATAAAGCATTTAATACGAAACAGTTTATCCTACAAGATTAGCTTTACATAAAAATATTTTTATATAAAAGTCTTTCAATTTCAAACGTTAAACGAGCTTATTAACTTTTATGTTTAGAAGCCGTGGAATAATTCTTCTACTCACTATTTTACTAGCGAAGTTAACATATTAATTTCGTAATCCTTTCACGCGACTACTTATTACTAATTATTTATCGAGGAATATCAAATATAGTTTCATTAAATCGATTCACCCGAGAACAACGAACAATGTACTAAAAGATGTAAACGAGATGCAAAAGAAATTTTTCATACTGGCATTGGAAATTACGATTTAAATGATTAAATATAAGATCCGCAAACGAGTTGGAGAATTCGAAGCAAATATTAGTCAAAAAACATAAAAAAAAATAATAAAAAAAAAAAAAAAAATAAAAAATAAAATAAAAATTCAAGTATAACGATAACAAAGTAGCCCTTGACTCCCTCCCCCAAGTGAAAATCATACGAGTTATCCGAGGCACGTATAAACTCGTTGATAATGTAAACAAAAATTCTATCACCCCAGCAGATATTTCAAAATGCTCAGTTCATCAGCATTCTCTTCAGTACCATTTCTATAACTCGTTCCCCAAGCCTATAGATGCTCATATGCAGGCGCAGCGCGATAATAATGGTCGGGCCGAAGCAGCAAATCCGTATTATTAATTCGAGGAAGTGAAAAAGGGAATGAAAAGGGCGCTCGATAGCACTTGACTTCCTTGAGTCGTCGTTCTCGCTCGCGTATTACAACCTCGGACGTGCAGCACTGGACCAAGTGGCACTCGTTGGGGGTGAGCCACATAATGCGATCATTTCACGGTGACTTTGGCCGCGCTCGGTGCTCCCAAGGATGTCTGAGTGCTCGGCCCGAGATTCCAACGTTATACCCGGCACTCCTGCGGCTGCTCCCGGGCTCTCGTTTGTCATGGCTCGCCGAATCACCCCCTCGAAGCTCGGTACATACTCTGTGTACATGCGCGGGTGGAGCAGCGCGGGCCATTTGCCGCAAGGGCACGCTACTCGCTTCGTTGCTCGGAGAATGAGCAAATGTGCACGTGTACATGGAGAGTTCCGCCACGAGTACTCTAGTCTAGAATTAGAGCTACTTGAAAATTCTTAAGCCATTAAGTGCCTGGCGACGAGAATGTGTGAGAGTGTACCTTACCTTCCCACTGCTTCCTGCGAATCCCTCAATTTTCCAATATAAAAGTGTCTTCTTCGTTTCCAAAAAATGTTCTATTCTTTTACACTGCACCAAGAGTAATCGTGCTCGAATCATTCATTGATTACTGGCCAATGGTTTTCTTATTTTAAGTAACCGGAACTGCTTGTACATTATTTTTAAGCTCGATTGCTCGGTCGGATATTCGTGTGGATGCGCGTCTGTGGCGTCTGTGAGCGTAACTTTCTTATCGCACGTATTATAAAAGCGCATAAAACGATGAATGGATTTATCCTTTTTTTGTTTTTTTTTTTTTTCAATCGAAATTTAACATTTTGTTCCACTGGTACATTAGATTTAACCAATTTTGTTGGTTCAAAGATTTAGTTAGGCAGATTTACAACAGAGAGAAAATAAAAAGCTTTCAATTCAGTATACTTTACTATATTTTTCCCAGAGATTACAATTCACAACTAATATCCTCGTCAATAAATTTAATTTATCAATTTTCGTAAAATATAGTTTTGTACCAATATTATTGTACTCGTTTATATGTTCGATTATTAGTGAAACGAACAATTTGATACATCAGGTGTTATACATAAGCGACTTTTAAATTGTATTTTTTTAAAATTCCATAAAGCACACATCGTTGTCATACAGACTTAACTCCATATTTTAAAAGAGTTTGAGAAATAGCATTTATCAAAAACCATTAAAATAAGATTTCACCATAAAAATGTAAAGTGCATATCTGTATAATATAAATTAACAAAATTAATTTAATGTCAGCTGTTGCATTCTTTAATATAAAAATACTTTTATTACCAAGTTATTATTTCAAATTCCTATACATTCTGGCGTATATGAATTTTTAATAATATGACACATAACACATTAAAGATTTAACTTATTTCCATTGCATACTAAAATATAAATAATTTATGTTTAATAAATATATCAAATACCAAATTGATGTATCCGTAGCTAATTATTCAATTTCTTATTGATTTAACAGTTTAAACTCGTAGTCGAGTGTCAGTTAAGAACGTAATAAATATAAATTAGATTTTAGCAATATTTGTTATATGAACATTATAAATCGACGAATAATTCGTCTAATAATAATTTTCATCCATAAAAAATCAATAATGATTAAAAAATGTTTCCAAATTCCTACAATAAAGAAAGAAAAGAATAGAAAATTAATTTCGGAATTATCGGTTCGATTGTACGTTAATTGATTTTAATTAATTTATTCTCAAAAATATAAATACGAAGCATTATATGTAAAGCACAATATTTATCACAAGGTGAATAACTACATAATATAAATATATTATTTGATTTGATGTAATTATCTCGATTACTTTTGAAGTATAAATTATAGGTAAGCTTATAAATTTTCAGTACTCGTATAGTTGAAAAACGAGAAAAATGTAACGAGTGTTTCACTAATCTAGAGAAAATTTATTAATAAATATTTATATGTTAAACTACTTAATACTCACAACATGGCTCAAACTATCTACAGTAGGTCGATAAGAAAATTAGTAATTTTTTCTCTATCATGTCGTTTTCAATCTAGTTATGATGGACATATTTTTCATAATATGCATCAACACTGCACCCGATTAATTCATAGTGTATATATTATTAAGAACAATCATATAAAATTTATTCTTCTAATAATTCTAAAAGTCATTTGAAAATAATGCTGTGGTGACTTCGAACGTTTTAAAGGAATGGAACTCAAGTTATTTTTTCTTTATTTAAACAGACAATTTATAATAAATCCAGATATCAAGTTTTAAGTTTAATAGATATTCAAATATAAATTATAGGGATTTATTTTTATCTACATATACTTAAATTTTATATTTTATATTATGTTATTCTACAATAATCTTTCAAAATAGTTTCGCAATAAAAAAATTATAAATAAATTTTATACAGAAATGACGATAAAATGGTTCGGTTTTCTTATATTAAGAGTTTGAGTATTCAGATTGTTATAAAAAATTTTTTTATCGCTTATTTCATTGAAACTTTGGTCATTGTGTAGTAGTTCGCTTGCAAATATAAGTGTACTTTCGGTGTATTGAAAGTAAAGTACATTACATTAGAATTATAAATTGTATCGAAAACCATGTAGCTTATTTAATTATAATTAAAATATAAATAAACGATTAAATATTTGGAACCGTAGATAATCATTGGCAAATTAAATAGCAACATTTTCCATATGTTTTGTTATGTATCATTTACAAAGAATTTGAACGATGCACGTATTACAGCATCTTTATTTTGTGAAAATAGACTTTTTATCGATTATTCTACTTCACTACCTTGTAACTATTACATTTGTAAAAAAAAAGGAAAAAAGAATAAAAATATATATGATAAGAGTGAAACGCATTGACAAACAGTAAAAACGTATTCGTATACATAGAAAAATGATTGAATAAAAATTAAAAAATGTTGATAACATTACCTTGTTTGGTGGCGTTTGTATACCATGAAATGGTAGATTTTCGTAAAATGTTTTTGTTTCTGGCTCGGATAAACCTTCAGAAACACTATCCATATGGTTACTATTTACGGCTTGACTGGGATCTAAAATTACCAACGATAAATAAACATAATATAATTAATCAGAAATTCATTAAATTATTTGATGATATGTGCTTCTTTTGTTCTAGATAGATGTTGGCAAATTTATTAGATAAATAAATGTAAATTATACGACATCTCGAATATATCCATATATGTCGAGGATATTTATTTTTATTGAATAAGCGTGTCTAATAATTTCTTAAAAAATCAGTAATTTTTCATAGATTCATATAGATTTATCTAAAACAAAATATAACTGAATCTCACATAATATGACATAAAATTTTTTGTTTTTTGTTTTTTGTTTCAAATACGTTTATTTTCATGTTTTATTTATATTAATGGAATTGTTCGAGAGATAGAATGTAATAACACTAAATAGATTCTAAATTTCTTGTAAATTAGTGGTAGATGTACCGTATATGAAGCCAAGCGCGTATCTTTTAAGAAATTAGTATAATCATTTAAAAATAAGTAATTCAATAATGTTATAATATTTTATACAAACTTGTACAAAGTTCAAGTATCAAATTAATTTATACGTGAAATTCAAGTTGCAAATGTCAAGAGGAAAAGTGTTTTTCCAAATTTATTCCAATGTTGCGAATTAAATTTGTGTATTAGCTTCTTTAAAAATTTAACTATAACAAACTATATATTATTATAAAATTATTTATTTTTAAAAAAATATTGAATATATTAATAGAATAGAGTTTTATTTATCAGTATCAAGTTAAAATATCTTTTTAAATATATCCGAAAGAAAGTTAAGATAAATTTCATTTCCTGCTACCGAGTAGCAATTAACTATGAAATTTATATTTCATTTGTAAATGGAATATTAAGTTGCGGAGTTGCGGAGTTTAATAATAGTTGTGTTTTATTATTTTCTATTCCTCTATATAAATTCCAATATATAAATGGTTTCACCATCTTATAATAGATTGGTTATGAACTAGCCGTTTGTTGGTAAACAAGACTGTTGACCATAATTTTTGATAACATGAAGAAAAGAGACAGGCATAATTATAATCTACATCTTCCTCATTCTAAATTCTAGTTCCTTGATTTCATGAATAAGTGCATTTTCTATCGAAATGATGTGCAAATTCTCATAGTGTATTCGGTATCATTAGAACATCAAAATATACATAATAAATGGTACAAGAATACATATTGAAACGATCAGTCATTTCTGTTATTTCATACAATAAGCAAATAATAAGCGAATATAATATTATATAAATTAATTTCAAATAATTGTATTAAATTATCTTCAGTATGAAAAATTCAATTTTAAAAGCAAAGCTTAATTTATGTTTCCACGTTAAATTAATTCAAAATTTTAACTATTTTATAAATACGCATTAATTTTTCAAACTGCTTTCTTATATAGTTTTTATTGATAAATTATTAAAAAAAAAGAAAGAAAAAAAAAAGAAAAAAAAAAAAGAAAAACAAAAGATACAAATCTGTAAATTTGATATATTTCGTAATATTCAAATTGTTTCAGCAAATGAAAATAAAAAAAAGGAGTATAAATTAACAAAATGGTGAACTAAATTTTCAAGCGAATACAGAACTGTGGAAATGTTTAAAGTGCGAATTTTTTTTATTATACACTAGAAATTTTTGAGCCACAATGAGCGAATATTGTTAGTTGTAAGAATTTGTGTAAGAAAAAAAAAAAAAAAAAAAAAAAAAAAACGAGTAAAAAGAGAAGCAGTTTTGTTTTAAAAGACAATATGAATCGCCTTGAAATAACAGTAACTAGAAGCAATGTAGTTAAATAAATAAATGTGAATATAATGAAACAATGAGTGAAAGAGAAAGACAGAGATGGGGAATAAAGAGAAACAGAGAAATAGAGAATGAATAATAGGAAGTGTCAAGGGAGACAACAAGAATTTTTTATTCCTTACTCATGCATATACATATGTACGCACCTGCTCCTGGTTTTTTACGCTTACGGGATACATTGTTTCTGTCATCGCTGGTCTGTTTCTGCTTGGAATGTTGTGAACCGACAGCTGATTGCTCTTGTTGTTGTAGTGGTACTATTCTCTTGTATGTCACGGCTATATGGGCGGGGGGTGGGTGGGGGGTGGAGGTATATATGTTTTTAAAGATACGCACGGTATAAGCAAATAACTAAAGTATATAGTGGCTCTTAATAAACAAACGTAGACGTATGAACTATATAATGGAGATGTTAATGTGACATAGTGATATTACGAGAAGTTGCGTTGAAATACTTTCTCTCTCTTACTTAACTCTTTCATAATATATTAATTAAATGAGATATCCCATTGTATGTAGCCTCGGGGAAATAATAAGTATAAAAATTTTACGAGAACTGAATATCCTTTGCGACACCCGTGGTGATAATTTTCTTTCCTTTATAAAACTAATAATTACTTTTCTTGATTTTTCTATAAAATTAAAGACAATTTCAACGAAATTACATTGATCGATAAATATTTGAGATTTGGAAACTGTTTATTAAAAATAAATATAACATATATTTGATTATAAATCACAAAATTGATTTTTTATAATAATTACATAGTGTATTTATCATTTTTCCATAGTTTTTCATATGTAAATACATTTGTAATATGTATTATAAAATTATTCTAAAATCAATATTGATAATAATTTCATGTAATTTTAAAAATAATTGATAATTGAAATTCACTTAATAAATAAATAATGAATAACATTTTTTTGTAAAATAATCTTTATTTCATAATATGGAATAATAAAATATTTCCTCATATATCATTGAAGAGTTTCGAAATTCTGAGCCACGTAGATTCTAAGAATTCTAGCACTACATTTTTAAAAATTAATTGTCAAGATAATAACTGAAAAATGCCGAGGTTTTTTATGAAAAAAAAAAAAAAAAAAAAAAAAAAAAAAAAAAAAAAATGTAAATTGGCTATAACCATCATTGGGAACACGAAAGAATGAAAGATAATGGAAATATAGATATTTGGGCAATGGAATTTTTGTAAAATTATTGCTGTACTCGAATGCTCTTCAAAGCCTTCATACTTTTGCCTATCATTCGTTTTTTTTTTTTTTTTTTTTTTTTTCATATTCTTTACTCAAGAGATAAATAATTCTAAGGAGAATTATTTTTCATATATGGGAATTTCAAAATATTCGAAAACTCGTAAGAATTAAATTTTTTGAATGAAAATTTCATTATTGATTTCAATTTTATTCACTATTTAACAATATTCGATTTAATAATAACGCGATAAGAATTCTTATTTATTTACATATATAGCCAACAATTATTTTAACTTCTAATTTTAATTAGATTTTTCGAATAATAGTGAAGTGTGAAAGCTTAAATTACGTAGTAATAGAAAACAAGATGAAGTATCTTTCAATTTTATTGTCATTAATTAATTACATGAAATATTATGAAATCATTTTAAATAATTTAAAAATAAACAAGTGTAGTTGTTGATGTCCCGTTGATTAGAGAAAATTTACAGCGTTAATAAATGAAATAATGGAAAGGAAAAATAATTACTTATTATTTATCGCTTATTATTTCCAAGTGATTTAATTAAACATTTCCAGCTTATTCTGCTTATTTCACGCTAAAGTTTTCATACTTATGAATATTTCAAAGGATACCTTATAGAATGTCGCTGAGGCTTTAATCATCATTGCCTATCCGACAATCAATCGCTTGAGCAAATGCAGTGATTTTTAAAGATCTTTTTATCTATTTCGTTTGATAAAAATTACACTCAATTGTCCCGACGTTTAGATAAATTTCTTCATTCTAAAATGTAGTTGAAGAAAAATCGAACGACTCTACGGGGCACACTAAAACATATGCATGTATAGATTGGACGTTCGGGGAGCCAAAACTAAAGCCTCGAGAGAGTTACATCGCAATTTGACCTGTAGAGTGAGTAAACCACAGAGCTGGAATGACAGAAATAAAGAGAGAAAAGGCAAAGTACTATAGATAGAAACAGATTGAGTGAATCGAGGGACCGAGAAATCGAATCAATCTACGCGTCTCTCGCTTTCTCGGTCTTTTGGTTAGGCCGGAAGCGATTACGTCGACTGTCGCGTCGTTTAAAAGGCCTTACGGTTATGTAGAAACTAGGGAGAAAATGCCGATAATACGACCTCACTACTAGAACTTTAACGACTCTCTTGCTTCTACATGTCAAATGCAGCGGTCGCCGGGCGCTTTTATAGGGAACTGGATGATAAGATCAGTCTTATGATTACCACATAATTTTCTCAGAATATTATGTTTAAAATGTTAATTCTGGCTTTGAAAATGTTTACAGCTATGCGACATATATTCAATTATTGTTTTTTTTTTTTTTTTTTTTATCTCTTTTAATAACACAATTGTGATATACAAAGTAAAATAACATAGGCAGTTTTATTACGTTGTACTTAAATTCTCATTTAATTGGAATGAATTAAATTCATGAAAACACAGTATGTATTATGCTTATTCGTAAAATCTACCTACTCGTATACGTTTTTTAATGCAAGGTGATAAAATCTTCTCTTTTAATCATTTAGAGAGTGGTTGCATTAAATAATAAAATACGGTTAAGTATATTTCATAAAGGAGTTTTATTAAATTTAGACTTGAATTTTATAGAGCTTAGGTTATTTTTAATAAACTTAGTAATAATATTTTCTGCATATTTGGAATATCTTATAGTAGTGTTATACCTTGAAATTTAATTAAATAACCTTCTAATAAATTTCTAATCAACTTCGACAATATAATTTAATGAGATATCTCGTTTATGTAATAATTATTACTTGTAATAAATAGTTTTTAAGTTTTTTTCTTCCCTTTCGTTTTCTTCTCATCGAATCTTAACGTAATCACGGCGTTAGAATATACGAAATTAATGTAACTAATCTTAGTCTAATTGGAACTTTTAAAATTATTGCTAACTTTAGTTCCTGTCGTAAAGTACATTTTTTCTATACTAGAAATTTTAATATACTAGAAATATATTTCACCAATACGCTTCAATTGTATGCTTAGTCAAAAAAGACTTTGCCATATTTAAAAAAAGTTATGCATTAATCATACGGTCCAACACATCTTATACATTATTTTCGATTTTAGAAGAATGATTAAAAGAAAGAAGAAAAAAATTGTAGTTTTTTTTTTTTTTTTTAATCTTTTGTAAACTTTAATGAACGAAACCAAATATAAATATATATCATATAGTTCATACGTACGACTTCATTTATTTATTATGATGAATTTCAGATTTATTGTTATAAGATAATTGTATTGCACCACGCATTGGCATACTTTTATTCGTTTATACGTAATATTGATTGTACGCATTTTATGAATTCTACAGAAATAATATTTTTTCATCTCTAATAAACATATTTAAATGTAATGTGACATTAAAACATTCTTCTTTAAAATCACATTGGTTCTTTTATTTTAATATTATGGCATGTAAATATGTTTGTAAAAGAATATTATCATAAGATATACAGTTATAGTTTTGGTTCAATTTTTTTATACCAAATTCAAGCTTTTAAACTTTTTTCAAGGAAAATAACTTTTTAGAATTTAATGTAAAACTTTATCCTGAAATCTTGCTTTCAGAACTATATACAAATCTGCAAAAAAGGTGAAAGTATATATAACTGCATATTTTTGATATACGAATAATAATAATAATAATAAATAAATAAATAAATCAATAAATAAAAGATTAAAAACTAATACATCATTTTGTAAAAGATATTGTGTACGAAGAAATTTGTGGAAAATTATTTCTTGCTTGACTTTAGGTATTTTAGGAAAACGCATTTTGTATCAAAGAATCCTAAGTTAAATAGAATTGAATTGTTTTATATTTCAGATATTTGGTATTCGAGAAGACTCCCCTTCGATTGTAAGAACACTATTAATAATCTATAATATATAACATTCCATTGGCTTCTAATCTGATGAAATATTTCCCATTTTTCCAAGTTTCCCTATTAATCTGAAAAATGAGCCTAGACTCGGACGCACCAAAATTTCAACTAACTAGAAATCAATTAACTATAATTTAAGAAAAATAAATTTATAAACTCGAGAGCTTATCGATAACTCTGATTGACAAATAAATCTCGCGTTATGAACTTTTTTTTTTCTTTCCAAAGCATGGAATTTGTCTCCTAAGAACGAAACGGAAGTAGAGTACTGTGCCACTACACACATATTTACGTCAGTAGTGACGTATTATTACATAGGCGAGCAGTTGATTATCGCCTCATAATTCTTACCTGTCTTACCGCGTGATATACCCGGAAAGGTATCGGATTCCTTCAACTGCACACTAAATATGGATCTTATCCGATTTGCCCGAGCAAGCATACCATCCTCGTGATGCGACTGATGCTGGGGCTCGCGCTGCCTCGACCTCGCCATCGAGGAACAATCGGCTGGGTAGTGCCGACGACGATGACGCCGTTGCGCCTGCCGCACCCCAACGAGTGCCGTATCCTTACTTCCGCGACAAATGGGCTGTACAGGTGCTACCGAAGCCGATGAGTCGCCCGTTAGCGGCATCGAATCGGAAGTTCCACGTAGCCGCGAAAGCGACGAGGCTGTGGACAATGGCGGCGAAGGCAAGCCGACTCCAAGACGCGGCCCGATAGTCAAACCCGAGCGCATGCTGTGGGTGCGGTTGATATGGACGAGGACACCCGGCTTTAATGGCCAGCGAGGTACAACTGGCTGCTGCTGTACATTCGCGTGCGGAGTTGCCGAATGGCTCGAGGAAGCTGCTGGCGATGGCGGTCCACCCTCCGGGCTTTATATATTAGTTTCATTATATTTATTTCACTTATTATGAGCTGATGGGAAAGCTTGTTTTAGGGTGATATAAGTATCATTATAGTGAGAGAGCAGTCAATGATACTTATTTATACGATGCAATTAATGGAAAGAAATATTTGCCTATCGATTTGTGTATTAATCGTAAGTGCGCCAGACAACATTAAAATTAAATTTTGATAATAAACATTAGTTAGCAAATTACTTGTATCTTTCTTTTTCTTTTCATTTTTTCTTTTTAATTATATCGCGATAATTTCAGCAGATTGTTAATTACTCTGTTTTTCGTATTAACTGGAATTATCAATTTTATAATTCGTAATAATTCTCTTAAGCTTTCGAGGCCATTTACGCAGTAGCGACATCAGCGTGCGGTCAGCCGAGACATTGCTTGATTTAACTCAAATTTCGTTAGACAACTTTCATTGCAATTTCAACCGGCAATGCGATTAGAGCTACGTTTTGTATAATAACGACTCGAGTTTGTAACTCGAATTTGTCTGTGTAAAAATAGTTTCTCATGACGTCTTTGCTTCGTATAGAGAAACAAAAGTATTTTCATTTGGACTACGATGAAACGGAAAAACAAAGTCTATTATTTTTATTATAAAAAACAAAAACAAAACAAAAAACAAAAAACAAAAAATAAAATGAAGAGAAAGAATGAAAAAAAAAATGAAAAAAAAAATGAGATAAAAGGTATTCCAGCACCAGTGATATATATGTGTGTACGTGCTCATCCTACACCTTCAAAAGCAATTTTGCCAACCAGCAATTCGAAACCACAATCACCACCACCACTAAGACCTTTATTACTATTGCCACTACTTCGACTACCAACACCATTACCAGTACTCATAGTCATTCCAGAAGTAAAAGAATGAGTAAAAAGAAACCGAATAAGTGGAAGAAAAGCTGTAGTAAGATTTAAGTTGAATACTTCCTTATCTGTGTTCTTGCGTGCAGGTGAAGCGCCGGGGCATGCAACCCAAGGAGAAACGACCAAAACAGAAGAAACAGCTGATATTTTATCCTTTATTTTATCCATCTACTCTTTGATTCGTTCATTCGTACCTCAACGATTTCATGCTACGAAGATCAAGAAATACGCTTTTAATCCTCCGTTAAAACTTCTGTCGTTCCAGTAAGAATACGACTCGCATCATCTTTTTACTCTCCAAAATTTTTTTTCTCTCAAGATTGACTATTACAGACGAAATTACATCATTTACTATACAATGATTATCAAGATTTTTTCTATTGAACTATTGAAGAAATAAATTATATTGTTAAGATCAAAACTCGAATTCTTTAAATAAATGGAAAATTTCCATAGTTTAAAACAGTTTATCTACAAAAATTAACTATACGCTAAAATTAAGATTGTTTAAATAATTTACAAATAATAATATGTATTTACAGATTTAAACAAATCATTAACCCTGAAAGGAAATTTCTATTCAAGTACAATAATTTCGTTATTAAATAATTATTAAATAATTAAATAATGCTTAAAATTTGTATTCTAAATTTATTATTATCACAATACATAGATATCATATACCTATAAGTTAGTAGAAGGTAATTTAATATTTGATTGAAAAATCAATTTTAAATATAATTATTATTTATCTTCGGTATAGATAAAAAATATTGTCTGATGTGGACCTTGTATACAGATATCTATCTTTTCCTAGAAACACTAATTAGCTTCAAAGTTTGCAAATGATGTACGGAACCATAGAATGAACTACTTACATGATTCATAATTAACTTAGTTTAATAATTACTTTTTTTTTGTTTAACTATTATCATTATCATATAAGAAATCAAAACATTATAAAGAGTATATGAAATATATAAATTCAATCAAACAAATTCAATTAAGAATTACGTAATATCTATTTAATATATAAAAGTCAAATATTTCTAACTATATATATATATATATATATATATATATATATATATATATTCAATAAATGAAATTTCAAATAATTATAATCAGAAAATGAATTATTCAAAATATAAAAGATGATTTCAAGAATAATCATACATTTTCTTATTATTTCCGAAAAGTATTTATAACTCAATAATTGTTGGTAAAATTAGATTTTAATTTAATGAAATACACATTTTTACATTTATTATTAGTGATTTTGAAAAATACTAAAGTCATACGTTTTACCGTAATTCTTTCATAAAGTCTTAGTATTTATATAGCATCTATATTAAATTGTATAAATCTGTCAAAGATATTAAATAATAATCTTATTAAGAAATAATGTAATACCAGTTTATTCTACAATTATAGGTCTCAAGAATAATAATATAGAATTAAAAAACTTATAATATTTATAGAATGAAATAAGAGAACAACTAAAATATCTCTCGCTATGAAATTTGTTCGATATTCTCCTCATTGCTAATGTATCTATTGTTCTATATAAAAGAATTTTTACTCTTATTTCTAACTTTATATATATTTATACTTATATATATATATATATATATATATATATATATTCAAATTGCATATTGTTTAATGTTTATGATAATTTTTAAAAATAGAATACTTTGATAATAAGTATTTACATTCAATAATTTAAATAATATGTTATATACGCGATATTTTCGAACGTCCAATTATAATTTCTATCAATTGTAAATAAATATCTTGTGTTATAATATATATTTCAATCATTTATTTAATCTATACCTCATTTGCACCTATATTGGATATAAATATCTGATAGTGTCTTATTTCTCTAACTGGCGAGTCCTTACCTTTTTCAAACAGTTTTTGTGTAAGATGCTGTGCTCCGTGTGAACGTAAATAGATTATAATGGAAAATAAATTGTTATTGTTCAAATATACGTACGAGTTAAGTTCGAGAAAACAATAAAAGATAGTAAGGCACAGAAAATGAACAAAATATTCTATATGCAATAAAAATAGAAGTAAGAAAAGACAGTTATTATGGGACATACAGCTATACTATACGTAAATGCATATAAATATAATTTCAACACAAGCAGCTTTAACTTTAAATATAACATATATATATATATATATATATATATGTGTGTGTGCGTGTATGTGTGTGTGGAATCATTATTTCCAAACTAAATTATTTTAATTTAAAATTATAAATTGTCATGAAATTAGTTACGTATTAGGCAATTAATAGAAGATAATTTAATTTTAATATTAATAAATTTTTTTTCCGGAACTTGTTATAACACAATTTATAACAGACTTTGAATTTTCAACGCAATTTGTAGAATATTGTATAATTAAATATAGACAAACTTTTAACATGGTGTCCCAGAATTTCACAAGTAATATATATTTAGTTTGTAGTCAAATGCGGATGTATAAAATAAAAGCACGAGATAAGATAGAGTAAACAGAAAGACAGATAATGAATGAAAAAGACAGATAGAGAGAGAGAGAGAGAGAGAGAGAGAGAGAGAGAAAATAAAAATAAATTTTTCGGAGAATAAAAGGACTCGTCGGATCAAGGAATTACCGACATCAGCCCGCCCCATTGGCCCTTTATCTTGTTAAACCGGACTCTCACTCTCGTCCCATTCGCTATACTACTTTTCTCAATGTCTGCATCAATCTTCGTGTTCCGACTTCATTAAAGATGCGAGCACGCCATATTGTCACGAATCTTGCAAAAGGAGGTAAAAGCATAGATGTGAGGTATAGCGCATGCGCTCACGAATACTTAAAATTTATGTGTGGCTGCATTCACCCTAAGAGTGCGATCGTGCATAAAAAGTAATAGTGGTATTTTCTTTCTTTTTGTTATTTTCATGGTACTTACTGTTCGCGTTCCTCCAGCTCGACCACTCGATTATTGTCTGTGCGTGTGTTTAGGTAAGAGGTCCGGATTTAAAAAGCGGGAAGGAAGAATTCAAAGAAAACAAAAAGAAATGAACATTTGAGTACAGCGTGTTAGTGAATTCAGATCGTCTGATGATCTGTGCCTGTGTTTATACTCTTGATAAGTACAATAAATTAATAGTATATATATATATATATATATATATATATATATTTATACTAATATAGTTCAGATATTACATTTACGTAATTTAGCTATAATATCAATATGTTCATCCATTTATGAAAAGTAATAAATGCATAAAATTTCGGTATACATAATTTATTTTAAATATGAAGAAAAATTAATATTCCTGCTCAGTGAATTCCTCAGCAGCTGTGATAAATTTACGAGGATATTATTCTTAGATATGATGCCCAAACTTCATAAAAATTCTAATTATACTATAAATCAATTAGATAAATTAAAATGATAACTCTAAAGAGTATTTGAAAAATTCAATAATATCATTGCATTATTGTTTCTACGGTATATCAATTATTTATAAAAATATAAAATAATTTCAAAATATAATTTAATAATTTCTTATATGTAAAATAATCAATTAATAATGTATAAGAAAAAATAGACAATGTTGAGTTGAGAAATACGAAGGTGAAAAATACATAAAAATATAGATATTGTATATCGTGTAAATTATATATGTTGGAAATATAAAATTTTGTGTAAATTTTATGAAGTTTATGGCTTTCATAATTTCATAATTCATAATTTAATAAATAATTTTAAATTCATGCATTTGTTAAAGTCAATAATTATATTTTGATGCTAATTTTTATAAATATATTTAAAATAAATTACGTTAAACATCTATAAAAAATATGTTACTTTTCTTTACAAAATGAACGTATTTTTATAGATATTTTGGCATCAATTCTGTATTCCTATATTTTTATCTCGTTAAGTCTCATGAAATCAAAACTAAAACATTTTATGTTTTAAATAAGTATTATAATGTATAAATAGTTTAAAAAAAAAAAAATTATTTTGTTAATTATAGCATATATAAAGTTGATATGTACTTATATTTAGGTATAATAAAGCTTTTTTCAGAAATTGAAATAACTCACATTTTAATTTACTGTGCTTTCGTCGACACATGAGAAAGATAGCGACACATATGATAATTAAAATGAGTATAATAATCACTGTAACGGCAATTATGATAACAAGTAAATCCCCATCGAGTCTCAACCACCACGGGATGTTTGCTGAAAAAAAATACGATAAAGCACATTGAATTAATATTTACATTTTTAGTTCAATACTTGAAAATGTAAATATTCTTATACACTTATATAAATAATTCTAATTAAAAAACTTAAAATTATAAAAGATTTTAGTTATATGTATTAATAACAAAATTTAAATTAAATTTATTTAAATAAAATTTTTTTGTAATTTTAGTGAATTTAGTGAATGAAATAATACCTAAATACTTACAAAACCATAATGAAGTTAAAAGAATAAATAATTTAAAGAAAGAGGAATAATACATATTCCGTCTATTTTAAACAGTTCATTAAAATAATGTTAACTGTATATTTATTTAATATAAAAAAAATTCAGCATTAGTTAAAATGTTCAATTTAACGCATAATTGCGCAAAATTTGAAATTTTTCAACATCATAAACTCTATAGGTTAAATTTTTTTAAATTATAAATTCCAAATAAATTTCATAAATATAATCCTATATACAATAGAAATTCTTCAACTGTACAGTTATACATTTTATATAATTTCAGAGTAAAAATATTTTAACACAAAAATTTAAATTTCAGGAAAATAACAACGATTCTCTTAAAAAGCAAATAATAAATACTTTATTTAATAATAAATTCAGAAAGAAAAAAAAAACAATATATTGCTTTTAATTTTTAATATACTCGAAGCTTAATATGATATTTGCACAAAAGTATCTTAATAAACGTGACTTTTAAATGAATTCTTGAATATTCTAATGTATGTACGAAAAAACTCTTTTTCCCATATATTTTTTGTACTTTATATTATTTTTTCATATTCTGTGTTTTATTTTTGCATTATTTATTTATCGTAAGAATAATTCTTTATTTTATGAAAAATATAAAAATACTCTTGGCCAATGCGATTTATCAAAACTTTTTATTAACACGTGTTCCGAAGGGATTCATAGAAAAGTGAATTTAACAGAAAATGATATTTTACATCAATCTTTTTCAAATTTATAAGTAATGCAGTTTAATCACGTTCTATATGTACCGTTCAAATATTTAAATGAAATTCTAGCGGATAATCATTATGCTACTTTCATGCACACTTTGAAGAGAAAAGTTTTTCTGCATTCAAAAACTCAAACTATTATTAAAATTACTTTTAAACAGCCTGTTCTTTATGATCTACGGTATTCTTTTTCTATAAAAATTACGGATAATTTTCGTAATTTTTTTTTCATTGAAACTTTAATTATATTTTCTTATATTTTTATATTTTCAAATATTTAATATTTTACTTTGTAAATAAATTACATTCATTCGAAGTGTTTATTTATTCATAAGAATATTTTTTTTTATATTTTATTTTATTTTCTTTTTTTTTTATTATTAAATAAAGTTGATTCTATTTTGAAATAACTCCAATATTTAATGTGATAAAAATGTTGAATTTGTAGTAGATGATTTTTCTTATTTTGACATTAGAGTTATTTGTTTAGAATTTGCTTATATATTACATTTACATTTTATTGCTTAATAAAAATTTACGAAATATTATAACTGTAAAGATGATTTATTAAAATTTTTAATATACCTAAAGAAGTATAATAATGATGTATACACACGTAACTAATGATGGATTTCAAAATAAATTTTTTCAATAAAAATATTTATTTATTTTTTAACTCTATTTTCTCATAAGAAATGTATTTTTTTTTATTTTTTTTTATTTTATTATTTTTTTTTTTAATTAAAATATTTCTAAATAAATTTTATCGGCTGTAACTTCAAATTAACTGAAATTATTCAACGTGTTAGTACATATCGAAAAACTAAGATATTTTTTTAATTAAACAAATATGATCCAATTACAAAATAAAATTTTTTAATACAGAAAATTATTTAAATATTTCAAGCATTGGAGTATATTAAAAAATAAAAATAAATTGTAAAATATAATTATTTAAATCGACAAATGATTTTATGCTATGTTAGATGTATTTTTATTTGTAATGCCTTATTAATTAATAAAATTAGTATATAGAGGAGCTAAATTTTATTCGAACCTTGTGAAATGTGATAATGAAAAGGTGAATTAATTTATATCCATCTTATCGCCTGAGTTCAGTAATTTTTCAAAAATGCTTTTGGAATTAAGTTCCATGAAATATAATTTTTCAAAATAGTCAAATTTTTTCTACTTATATAATATTCTACACATTACATATATAGTATATTAAATATAAAATATATAGCAATCGATTCACTTACTATCAAGTCCTTGGTGTGCTAAAGGAGTTATTAAAAATTTATTTATTACACAAGTTTCTTAGCCTTTCGAATAAAAATATGATTAGAAAATATATATATATATATATATATATATATATAATATAAACTGAGAATATCATAAACAATTCAGGGTTTCCTTTTTATTAAATTTCACACATGTGTTAATATTAAGTTTTAACACTGCGTTACAATTATTATATAGCTTTCTGGTTTATAAGTATGTAGAATTATGTTATTTATGATAAAAGAAAAATTATGAATAATTTTTAAGTACTATAGTTTAATTCCATGTATTATAATAAATTATTACTTAAAAAATTGGACTAGAAGCTATTGCATTTTTAAATTAATTTACTTTTATATGTATATTATTATATAACAATACTTTGAAGAAATAAATTTTTTACATAATTTTTAACAAGTAAGATTGAAGAAATTAGAGGGTATGAAAATTAATTTAATAAAATGCTGCGAAGGTTATAGTGAAATAGTATTAGTCATTATATTACTAAGATTTTAATTGTATATTTATTCTATAATCATTCATTAATTAATTTTTTTCATCATCATTTACGTACAGCAGACTTTTACAAAAAGTACAACGTCTATAATAAAGTGCAATCAATGTAATCGTGTGTAATATTAAGAATTACATTGACGTTGAAACTGAATTCTTTTAAGTAAATAGGAAGTGATATGAAAAACAACATATTTTAAACGTTATCGATTAGGATAAATGAGATTTTTAATAATTACCAGGTACATGTCGCTCGCACGAGTTGGAGTGTCCGATACTATTGTTGGCTACGCATACATAAGTCCTAGGACTCGTAACGGAATCGTCGAGCGGGAGATAGCTTTTGCCATTCACTATACTCGATACCTGTTCGATCGTGTCATTGTCACTTTTTAGCGACCATTTGAAGCCGTACTCCGTAGGATTTCCATCGGCACTGCATACGACGTAATCCTTCCCGTCCATTACCTCTTTATCAACTTGGCATTCGGGCTTGTCTACATGATAAACATGAGATACATATTTGAGAATATGTGAAAGCATGGCATAAGTAAATGATGTCGTTGACTTGGATCCGAAATTCTTTTATCGACATTGAAACTTTGTGCAGTTGAATGATCTAAAGTGCCAATTGTTGCACAAATGTATCGAATTATAAAGGATTGGCTTGTGTCACGAAATTCAGGTGTAAAAATTAAGTAAAGTATCGATTAAATAGATAATATTATTGGTAAGAGTTTTTAAAAATCACTTGTAATATACAATGATTATTAAATTTTTTAGTAATTTAAGTTTATCTGAATTTGAATTATAACTTGTATTATTTGACAGAAGATATACTTTTAAATGCAAAAATCATTAAATAATTTTCTTCAACTATTCCTTCGTATCATTATTTTATGATTTGCAATATATTTTATTTTTAATTTTATTATTATCATCTTTATATATACTGAATGTTGCCTTACCATCGTATATTCATGTAACAAAATTAGTTTTCACATATACGAAATAGCATGGGCCTATCAGTAATCATTTTATAGATCGAGTATCTACATAACGTATATTATTCTATACAAACTACAAGTTTTAATGTACTATACTTAATTGGTATTTACTACAGATCTTAAAATAAATTCCCTTACTATAATATATTGCCTCCTGTGCTTTTGTACTCACATTGAACATTTATATAGGTTGAAATAATCGCACTACCAATCTTATTATTGGCCTGGCAAACATAAGTACCGCGACTACTACGCGGGAATGGTGTCTTAAAGTGCAGCACCGAACCCTCTGATATAATTTCAGACTTGCCCTCTCGATACCAACGATACTGTGGATCTGGTCGTGCAGTGGCGTTGCACGTTATTGGTTCCGGTATACTGTCAACGACAACGTTCACTATCTTCTTTGAGATCGTGAGACTTTCTGGTGGAACTATAAGTAAAATATTCATGATGTAGAATTTCAAGGTTATTCGAATTAAATGACATAAGAATTTGAAATAATTATATTGTATTTACGTTAAATTTTTCGACAATTTTATGATAAACGAGTGAATGTGAAATTTACAAAGCTTACGAAGTCATATATTTTTTTTCTTAACGAACAATTACAATGAAAGTAATAATATTGTTTTCCATTATTACGCGCGCTCAAATACGAAAAATGTATTCAAATACGAAAAATGTATTCAAATACGAAAAATGTATTATCTCATTGGTTGAATTTAAATCAGTTCGCTGCCATTTCGTTACAGTCTATTCGTTATTATAGTGAGTGGACAATTAATTACGTGTAAATTGTATTTACATTTAAGTTTTTAAAAAGAATACAATATTGCAGTACTCACAATAGACTTCAATTTTCACGGTGCTAGCGACACCTGGCCCAATATAATTTGACGTACTCATGCAGGTGAAGGTAATGTCATTATCAAGAACGCGATCTAATTGTCCGGAAGGCCAAGCCGTCAAATTCCAAACGAGCGATGAATTCATACTCTCGAAGTCGTCCGTACGAAGATTTGGGGGAGCTCGGTTGTTCTGTACATAATATTGTCGCGTATGTGCAAAGTCGATTGTTTTATTGTTCTTCATCCAAACGATATCACAAAGAGGTGAGCATTCGACGTGACAGCCAAGACTGACGTTTGTCGCATTATAGACGAAACCGACAAGTTGCGGCAACTTCTTTATAAACGCCGGTGGTGCTGAAAATGTCAGATTTTTGAATATCTTAGCATTATATTTTATTTCCGTATTATTTGCATGATCGAATGATCTCAAAAGCAAATATATCTATACAAGTAGTTATCAAGTAAATTATCGCATTAACGACATTTCAATACAAATTTAACTTTAAACGACATAATAAGACGGTAATTATCGTAATTGTATAGTAATTATGTAAATAAAAACACTTTCAAATGATAGGAATGCCATTAAGCATTAAATGAGAAGAAGGGAAGTTTAAAATAATTACCAGATACGCTAACGAAAGTGGTGGCTGGATCGCCGTCGCCGGCTTCGTTATTAGCCATACATGTAAAATTCTCTAGATTTTCTAATCTAGCTTTGTCAACTCGATAAACTGCCTCATTCTCCTCGGAGAGGCGCACTGGGCCACGAAACCACTTGAAATCCGTGGCTTCGGGTCGTCCGGGATCTTTGACCGAGCAAGTAATATTTAACGGTCCTTTCTTTACGACTCTTTCTGGCTCGTACGAAATCGATGCGGGACCCGGCTTATCTACGTGCAAAAATTTGGTTTGTCATTTTCTTTATTGATATTGCCTCGCGTAATATGAAATAAAACTTAGAGATTGAAAGATTTATAAAATTCTAATATAAAAAGTGGAAGGTCGTTTAATTTTATCGAACAAAAAATAAATAAAAAAATAAATAAATAAATAAAAAACAAATAAAAAAACTCTTGCAATTTACATTATAATTCGTATAATTTCATGCTTTATTTTGAGTACTTAGGATAGGCTTAATTACAGGTAGGCAGAGATAGGCATTTAATCAATATTGTTCAAAACAACGTAATATTTTATTCTACTTAGCAATAAATGAAGATTGAATATTGTATCAAGTTGCAATGTTATTATAATCGAAATAAATTTTACAATACTAATTATATTTAAATAATATTATTAAATTATAGACTATTATTATTAATGTGAATATCAACATTATTAATGAGGAAAGCTCTGTAATTTTGGAAGAAAGATAGTTTACCCTTTGACGATTAATTTTCATAATACTTTCTTAATTTTAGAAGCCATTATATATAATATAATTTAACAATACCGAATATTATTTCACAATAAAAAAAAAAGATAAATAATTTGTGGCATATTCCATCGAAATATAATATTGCTGAATATAATGCATCATTTGCTTTGTATTTTCATTAATGATGCGATGCTACTTTAAAATCCACGTGAAATGTAATTTTGAATCGATATATCTTCATAAATGTAATATAAATTAAATAATAATTTTCAAAACAATGTATTAAAAAAAAAAAAAAAAAAAAGAAAACTCAAAAACGTACGTATGAAATTTTCGTCTATGATATTTAACACAATTAAATTAAACAAAGTTCGAATGAATCAGTAAATTTATTAAAATTTATTTAACCGATAATACAATAAAGAAGAAATTATTTTATATTATATATAGCTTTTTTTTTCATTGTTAAAACATCTCTCTCCGTTTCAACACATTGCCTATGAATACAATTTTGTTGATATTTCTTATACGAGATTACAATAATTTATATCCGGTTTAATAGAATATAGAATATTTGATTTTACAGCTTCCAGATTATTTGCAAACTATTGTTTCGACATTATTCGATGAATTTGACTTTTATATCGCTGTACTCTACTTCATACAATTGAATACTGAAACAATACAATTTATTCGAATAGAATTTTAATTATAAAACTTCTTTTTAAGTTAAACTAATGCTTTTATGACTTGAAATATTTATAATATAGCGACAAATCAACAATTGCTTATCTAAACTCTCATAATTCCTTCAATGAACTCCATTCGGACGTAGCAAACTTAATGGCGCCTTACTTAAAAGTTAATTTAATTCAAATTAGGGAAATGAAAATAATATGTACTTAATTGATAGAGCACATTCACTAATAGCCATTAAAATTTTTTCCACGAAAGCCTTGTTTTGTTGTTTTTGTTCTTTATTTAGGATTGAATGGGGAGCGACAGGTGTAACAATAGCAGCTCCGCAGGAAGTGCAATAAGTGCGAATAGAAGAGTGAGCAACAGAAAACATGTAAACTATGAAGAAATAGCGACGAAGTGGAAATATGGGAAGGTGTAGGTAACGCAAGTGATGTATCGAGCACGTACAGTATACAACGATGGGCGTATTTGAAGATATTGGACCCCAGCCAGCGGCATTTCTTCCCTCGCAAGAGTAGTTGCCGTGGAAGGAGCGGCCCACCGACTCCAGCAGTAGTTTACTCGGATCAATATCACAGAACTCCTCGACAGAGGCGTTGCGCGAGCAATCTGGGAGCTCCTTCAGCAGGTCGCCGTCGAGGTACCATCGAACCGCTGACAGGTAGTTTGGATTCCCGGCAATCAAATTGCAGCTTAACGAGACGTTAACGCGCGCCGCTTCGTTGATCGGAGTGTTCGGCTCCATTGTAACTTCCACAGTTGGTCGAACTGAAAGCATTTTTCAAACAATTTCAACGGCCGAGGAGGCAACAAACTATTTTTTATCCTCGTCATTAATTCAACGAGAACTCTTCCTGGGATGATGATGCAATGATGCATTATTTTAATATTAACTTTAAACTTTATGGAGACATTTTCATATAAATTCTCAATGGGAAAACTAATATTAAAAGCAGCGACTATGCGCATACGTATATAAAATTAATATTAATAATTATGAAATAAACGTAAAATATATCATTACAATAATTAATATAATTATAAATATTTAAAAAATTTTTTCCTTTTCCTTTTCCTTTTCTATATTACAACATCATTGATTACCGATTTCCATCAATGAACTGAAAGTAAAATTTATAGTAAAAATAAAAAAAAAAAAAAAAACAGCAAGCGCTGTTTGTACGATAAAGCAAGTATTTTGTGATGTTTTACAATATCTTTTGTGTGTATTAAATAAATGAAAATTAAATGTCCCGTTAGATAATTACATTTTATTGTATTTTGTCATTTAATGATAATTGCTCTTTATTAACGAAAACCTAAGACTCAAAAAATCTTCGATAAAATTCTTATTTAACATTGCCATTAAAAAAAAAAAATTTAAACTATAAAATCCAAAAGTAACGAGCAGCTGTTTTAGCCAATTAGAAAATAATATAATTCTCAATGTACACTGGTATAAAGTACATACATAATATAGAGACATCGATGAAGTCACGTGAACTCGAGCTGCCGAAATCATTTTCCAGGATGCATGCATATTTGCCCATGTCGTTGGATATGGAATTTTTCACGAGCAATGAAGTTAGCTCGATTGTGCCGCCTTCATAACGTTCGTCGTTCAAAGTAAGATTTTTCCCATCTCGCTGCCTGAAAAAATGATTGATCGAAGCTTCTTAATATTATTTGCAATTGTTGAAATCCCTTTTGAATCTTATTGTTTATTTTCCATTTATGACAAAGCTCCATGCTGACTAATTCATCATTATACTAAACTTTTTTTTCAACTTAAACTGTAGCTTGATAATCTTTTTATCTAACGAAATATTCAAAAACATATCATATAAATATTAATATTAAGTTACTTTTTCAATCTGTAATTATGCATTTGATTGGTATTGGTAAAGATGTCAAATTATTTGTATTATTTTAATTGCTACTGTTAAATGCTTAATATACATTGGAAAATATAAAAAAAATAAATAAATAAATAAATAAATAAATAAAACAAATGCCAGCTTACAAAAATACAATTCAAAAATAACGAATGGAAACGTATGAATTATTCATTATATAAACTTCTTCATTTCAACAAAGGATATTAAAAAACACGTTGAAAGGTTTATTCACCTGTAAAAACATTGCATAATTTAATTTATAACGTATTGTTAATCAAATAATACCATAAATAATTCATACATTTATTGAAATGTTTTTTCTTTTTTTTCAATAATTATTACAGTGATAGTAATATATTTATTTATAATGAAAAAATAAATTAGAAATTGAAAATTAAATTTATTTTATACATTGATGATTGATAATGACAAAAATAAATAATTTCATATGTTTCAAATTAAAAAATTTTATTTCAAATAGAAATTTTAACACTAAATAATGCTCATAAAAATTTAATCAAAAGAATAATTATATTTAAATGTATATTTAGATTAATATTTACAAATATTTGCGTTATTTGGTTATATTTTCTTACCAAATTACGTTTATCAACGTCGCAGGATTCGCCTCGTAATCACAGAATAACTGAAAATCCTCGGTTTCATTAACCGTGATGGTGTCAGGATTCATTCGGACGATTGGAGGATCTGGAAGATCAAAATTATATAATAAAAATATATAATTTTCAACGAGAATACAAATCAACATAATGAATTCTTTAATGTCAAATTCTTATTAACGTGGAAAACTGTTAACAATATGGATAAATCTTTTGCTGCTTTTATTATTTTTACTTAAAAAGAATGTCAATCTAATTTATATTTTATATTGCTACTATTATTTTTCATTAGAATAAAATATTAGAAATATAAAATGTAAAAATTATGGGAATATAAGGGCTCCATGAGATTGCTTCAAATTTTATTAACTCATTAATTAATTTAAATATTGATGACAAAATTATATTAAAAAATAATTATAAATAAATGATTATTTTCCAACTTTTGTATATTTTTGTTAGTCGTATATTTTTAAATTATTGAGCTAAATTGCCATTTTAATGCGTAAAATATATGAAATAATAAGAAAATGTTTAATTAATTTTATTTTTTAAGAAAATTAAGTAAATTATATTTATAGTTTAATTTGTAATATAAATTATAGTTTATAAGTATATTATATAAAATTTAAATTATGATTAATTTACCATATATATATATATATATATATATATATATATACCAATGTACCATTGTTTGAATTTTATTTTTATTTTTAAACTAAATAGTCAAGTAATTCTACATTATATTTCAGAGAAATTAATCTCTATCTAGAAGTCGAGTTATTCGGAGCAATTTTATTTTCTATATTTTATTGATTAGTAATTTATTTTCTTGATTATTTACTAGAGTAAAGCAAACTAAAAATTACATTTCACGGTATAACATAATAAATTTACGTCATGATCGAATCCTTTTCATCCTTATCCTTCTAGGATCACTGCCATACATTATAGTTTTTGCTATCAGCTACATTAACGCGCAGCAAATAAAAAAAGATTCAATGAGTTTCATTCACATATATTCATCATTGGGCTTTGGATGTATTTCAGTATGCGCATAACTAGCAATTCGTTTGGCTTCTCTTATCCTTTTAAATCATGGAAATAAGTTTATAATGGGGTCACTATCCTTATCGTCGTCTTTGAACATGTAGTACATCACATATGCATAAAGAGGAGAGATAAGTATGTACATATAGGGAACTAGTTAACCAGATGTGTAAAGAGCCTCCAGAGAGACGAAAAGGAAAACGTGACGTGGGTCGAAAACGAACGAATTTGCATGATGCTGTTGGTGCAGTGTACCTCGTGCGTGTTGGTATGCGAATATGTGGATGAGAATTCTTCATACACTTTAAAAAAGCTTCCGTTCGTTAAATGTTTTTACCATAAGAATTACCTTAATGAAACAGATGTTAGTATAGGTGAAATTTAATTGTTTTGACATCAAAATATGCCCATTGTTTTACCCAACAAATATATTTTGTAATTATTTAATAAATATTTAACAATATATATATATATATTTAAACATCCTTACAATATATTATAAAATTACATTTATAATTACTATAAATGACTACATTTCTCATACAATTAAAATTGTTTAAGCAAACTAAAAAATTCACTTTTCTATTTTCAATACAAATTCGCGATACTTAAATATGAATCAATAACTTGTTTATACAATTTTTTTTTATAAATAAACAGAAGAAAGAGAAACGTCGACGTTTTCTTAAAGTAAATTGAATAGAACATTATTTAATTGAAAAAACGTTAAAATAAAGAATAATTTGAAATAATTATGTTTATCGATGAATTTGCTCAGTATATTGAAAATCCAATTACATTGTTTGTGAAGTATTTCTACATCGTCATTAAAAAAATTATTATTAATAATAATTAAAAGTATTTGTAAAATGTAATATCTATTATGCGAAAGAAATGATCAATGATCATAAGAGTCAAGGACTATATGAAATAATTAATAAAATACCATATAGGAATGTGAAAAACTGAAATTCTAACATCTAATTAGATTTATATTTTGATACACAATAATAAAGATAGGAAACAATGGTATTAAACAATACTGAAACAAGAGAAAATAAGGTAATTTATTAGGATATGTTTGGATAAATATAGAATGCTGCGGTAGACATTACGGAAATAAAAAAAAAGAAATGCTTAAATTAACATTTAAACATCGACACATACGTAGGCTAGAAAAACATTTCATTTTATAAACTTTGCTCAAATATAAAAAAATTCACCGAAATTCTGAGTAACCGTTGAATAAGTAAGAGCAACCTAGAATAAATCAAGCGACGGTATCATTTTCATCGAAACTTCATGGTTAAAAAAAATGATATTTTACATATAGTGTTTTAACAATTCATATTATTACAAAAATTTATTTATCGAATATTATGGTTTGTGGAAATGTATTTTATGACTTTGAATTATTTTTTTATATAAAATCGAATATACAGTGCAATAGAAATTGTGCTTGTCAGCGACGAGTTGTGCAATCTAACTGCACGTCGGCTCAAGTTCTGTCAGTTTTCTTCCAGTTCTCAAAGAATTTTCTTTGAGCTTTCACGAGGAACTTACGACAGTAATATGTTAAAAATATCTTTTATATTTTTCATTTCAAATGTTGTATATATTTAAGAAAATGTAAGATTATTTTTATTTATTACATTAATTCATTGTCAATCTACCTAATAACAATTACTTATATATATATATATATATATATATATATATATAACTTGAATAATAATGTACTTTGCGTATATCATAAAATAAAATATTATTTTATTAAGAACGAGTTTATTTCTATAAAAAATATATACATACATATATATATATATATATATATATATATATATATAAGTCGAATTTATTTAAGAAAAATATGAAAAAAAAACAAAAAAAACGAAAAAGAAGAGGAAAAAAAAAGTAGTGAAATTCTATTTTACCGATGATGTAGATGACTTTCGCAAAAGACACGTATCATATATTTTGTTTTATATGAAAGTTAATAAATTTCTCTATAATACGCTTTTATAAATGATTAAACGTCTTGTATAATTTTTTTGAATCGTATAGATTTTTAGTGTTTCTATAAAAATCTTATAATAATAAAAATTCTATGTCGTTTGAAATGTTAAATGAAACACTGTGCGATAAATCGATAGTCAAGATAAAAAACGATTTTTCCGATTCTCAAACGTCCATTTACAGAGAATAAAAGATAGCTTTGGAAACTGAACTCCTGCATGACAGACGTATTTCACGAATGGTCGAAAAGGCATTTCGTAAAGTCGTCAAAAGTCAAGCGCTAACATAAACCCAACGTATTATGTTATCCTCAAAACTATAAAAAAGTATAAAGAAAAAAGAAGAAGCATAGTGTAGTAAGGAAGGACAATAGATGGTGAATGCGTCAGAATTCATCAGTAAATTAAGTAAGATAAGAGGGTGCGCGATTCAGCTTGGCTTTCACTAACGGGCCCACGCCGCCTTTCCTCGTAAAAACAATGGCACTGCGAGAAACAGAAAGAGGAGAAGAAAGGCCAGAGGAGAAAAAATAATAGTTGATTCACACTCACACATTACTTCGATGATTACGGTTTCTTTCATGGGCTTGCTCCCCTCCTTGAGCATGACCGAATTCACGGCTGCGCAGCTAAACTTTCGTCCGTTATCGTGCTCTGTCGCGGTGAAGGCTAAAAAACTGTTAGTCTGCGTTGTACCGTCATCCTGCAAATAGAACAAAAAGTCCCTTGTTGAGTAAGAGAATATAAGAATGGAAGAAGATAGAAGGAGGTGGACAAAAAGAAAGAGGGAAGGTGGTGGCCAGTGGGACCGTCGATAAAATTTCTTTCGCGTCAGCGGTTCAACGATAGCCGATTGATGATGGAGGATTAATGAGCCGAAAGACGAATTAATCCACTTTTTCCTTAGACTTAATTCCTTCCTTTAATGCTTTACTTCCTGGTCACAGCTCCTTATTACCTTTTGATTTTTAATTTTCCACTATTTAATTTGTACAAATTAATATCGCTCTCTTTCTTGTCTCCTATAATATCCCACTTAGGCTCCCAATGATTTACCATATTATTGACCATAAGTTATAGTACGGATGATTTATTTTAGTATAAACGTAAATAAATCTATATAATCGCGCTTAGAGACGTTACATTCGGTCGTACCATTTAATAATAAATAATTCGAGTAATTTAATGAAAAATTAAAAAAAAAAAAAAAAAAAAAAAAAAAACACACACTAGAATGTGCATAAATCTTTTGGTGCGTGGTGAACGCGCAGGTGTGCACATGTGTATGTTCGAGATAATTAAAATATCTGGTGAAGAGGTCATTTTAATTTGCGAAAATTATAAAAGTTTTTGTAACTTTCTTATTTCAAAATTTCGTTAATAATGCCGTAATTTAAAAGCATTTTTAATCATTTTTACATCTACAAATTTTGAAACTGCAATTAACAACGTTTTACTTACTCTATAAAAACAAAAAAAAAAAAAAAAAAAAAAAAGTTATATGACATTTCAATTTCTAATATATTTAATACTATTTATAAAACGCTATTATAAAATTTCTATTACACTTAACGTTGTTGAACGTTATATCGGTTCGTTCTAATTGAATCAATTGAATCCAATTGATAATAGAAATTCATGCGAAAATACGTAATAATTACGCGAATTTTGAATTTGAGTTCGCATGTTGATATCGATTTGAAATTGCTAAGTAAATAATTTGAAAAAATCAAATATTTTTTCATTGTATGTGATAAATTAATAACAATTTAATCATTACAGATATATGACAAATATCTGGAAAAAATTGAAATATAGAATTTTTATTCAATTATAAGCACAATTATCCAATTACATTAATATATTCAGCAAATCACCTACAATAAAAATGTACACTAAAAATACAGACATTACTTTGTTCGAAAGAAAAGATAAATTTTAGAGATTGAAATTCATTTTAACTAATTGAATATAATTATCTCCGGAGATAAATTGAAAAAGTTTAAAAATTTTAAAGTATAAAGCGAATATCAGAACCAATTGTAAAAAGTTATTTCTGCTTTAATTTGTAGGGATATGAAAGTATGAGCCGTCATATTAGATTGAGTATAGCGAATATGAATTTCTGTACTATTTAAATTGTTCTCGATTCAATATTCTTACTCAGTGCAGTGTTGTATATATACGCAATTATTTCTTTTCTATACCTTTAGGATAATTATATACATTTTTAAAGAATGTAATATGTATGTGTGAAAAATTGTATTGAATTCTATTTAAATTTACCATTTAATCCGTTTTAAAAAATGTATTTATTTTAGTATGTGCGTGTGTGTATATATATATATATTGTGAGAGGATATCAGTACTTAGTTGTCTGGTATAATATAAATGTGCGTGACACGAGGTACACGTTCGCTTACGGACCTCAAGATCTTTCATCAATCCAAGTTAATTTACCCAGGAACATCAGTCACGTGGACAAACGGGAATTAGGTCGACGCCTACTAAGGATCCATACATAAACAGGACCCGTAATGGAGATGTGCTCTTCCGTATGCTCACATGTTTCTTTCTCATGCAACTTGTTTCATATAAGCGCATTAGGAGCAATTTGATGCATCCTGGGAGAAGATGATATTCGCCGTATAAATGAGATATAAAGATATTATCACGGTAGACTATGCAGAGTAAAATAGAATTTATTACCGCAGATTTTAAAAGACATAATACATAATAGAAATGCATACAGATAACAAGAAAGGCATAGGCTGTATACAAATGGATAAGCTTGTGCATCCTTATCCATAAATGTAAAGCCATACCAAAATCTTTTAAAATCTGCCTATAGTTATTTATGGTATTTCATGAAAGCTATACAAGTAAACCCTAAGAAAGAAAACTTGTCTAATATATTTTGTCTTTTTTTTTTAAAAATCTTGATAGCAATAATAGCTTTTATACGTTTTGTGCAGAATTATATTCCAAGATATTATTGCACGTGATCGATAAAAAGATCAACAAATGTATTGCTCCTTTAAAATACTTAAAATTATTTTAATTTTTCTAAACACACATATATATATATATATATATATATATATATATATATATATATATTTGTCCAAAAATGATGTAAAGATTCCATAAATAATATCATTGATAATTTCCACAAATTATTGTACTACTAGCTTTCTTTATTTTTTTTGTTTGTTTTGTTTTTGTTTTTATTTCCAACTCTTTTTCCATTTTTTTTTATATGGAATATCAATAAGAAAAATTTCCAACTTATTATGTAAAAATTAGAATTTATACACTTGAGTTACAATTGTATAATTATATAATTATAATAATATATAGTTATAATTATACAATAATATAGTTGAATTTAATTAAAATTTATGAATAGCTGAGAAAAAAGATTTTATACAAGCCTTTTAAATTTTATTGAACAGAAAGTTTAGTTAACAGTAATAAATAATATATATTGGTGTATATATATTATTCTATTTATAAATAGTCAATAACGTTAATGTATTAAATGAATTTCATTAATGTAAAGTTTTCAAGATTCTTCATCTTGTATTTAATTTTTTTCTTTTTTCATAATAAAAATTCTTTTTTTTTTATTAAAAAGTAATCATTATACAGTATATATGTGACTTGTAAACTTTTATAAATTATCAGTATTTAGTACTAATTCGGTTAATTTGATATTTGTTTGATCATCGATTTGATATTTACTTTTATTATTAAAAAAAAAAAAAAAAAAAAAAAGCCAACCAATGAGAATTGAACAGACTAAATGTATAAAATTCAATTCGATTGACATTATATTTACATTTTTTTCATTTATTTTCAATTACATAATCATAAATTTGTATTTCACTTTTTACTATTTGAAAGAAATCACTAATAGCTCTTTTAATAATTTTCTTATATAATTTTAGTTTCTAAATAACTTCAATAAAATACAAGGAAATTTAATTAAGAATTTCACCGGGCCATCTTAAGAAATCTTTCTCCTGCTTTCTTCTCGCATCTTTAAGATGTATATAGAAACGATTTGTAAAGGATTTCGACGAATCTTATCAGATGTGATCAGAGGATAAAATAAGTTTTGGTCCCCTGTCAACCCCAATTCGACTCTCACCACGAACATCAGTTAGAATCACGTCATTCGTCCTCAGCAATATGTTCGCTAGTCTTTTCATTATCTCGCTCCATTACTCGAGCCACTTGCAATTTCTTTCCTCGTCCCTGTTCTCCCGCTGTTCTCACTTATTATAGCCCATGGCAAATCTCGCTAGCTTTGCTTTCTCGTGATACTCCTATCTTTATGTTTTCGCCATAAGATACGTTCGAAAGTCTCGTAGTGGGATGGTTTTGCTCGTGCTTTCCCATCTTGCGCATTTACTCTTAATTTTCAGGTGCACTTTGACAACGCAACACGCGGATAAAACCGCAAAAACATTAACGTTATTGCACTCGGTGATGCCAGGGGCGAATGATGTTACATAAACGACAAGTTATAGGCCAGTTTCTTTGAAAATTTTAACATATACGAAACATCGCGTTTGCGTTATTTTTTTATCATGATTGAGAAACTTCATTCTTGCCCCTGTTCCCTTTCTAAAATAACTGATTTTGAATTTCTGCGAGGGACTAGCATCGGAAGTGATTCGAACTTGGCTGACACACTCAAAAAATAGAATGATAAATGGTTTTTTCACTTGATAAATCATTCGTATGAGCCAAATACATCGGTTTAACTATGAAAAATGCATTCGATTTCAATAAATATTTATAGACAGCTCTAGACTTGTAAATCTCCGTACTCTGAATTTTACATGACTATACGTTAGATTACGATGGATTATATGAATGACAGATTAAATTTGCAAGAATTGATTTAAATAGATAATGAAGTTTCATCTATGTAGACTGAATAATTATGCATTTATGGCGAAGAAATTTTTATTAAGCAAGTTAGTAAATAAATTTTGAATTAATATAATATTTCAAGAATCGAAGAACGTAAAATAGTTGAAGAATAAATTTATTAAAATTATAATTGTTTCCTCCAATATAATGTTTTTCATAGATAAAGCAATTCAAATTTAAATTTCTTCATATATATTTGAAAATTTCATAATAATATTTTAAACAAAGTGTCAATATTTTAATCAACTGTGCATTGCTTCAGTTAACTTTTTTTCATTATTTATATAATACAAATATAAATTTAGGTTGAATAAATATTACCTTCTCTATCTCATTAGCCAATGTCATTCGCCTAAGACATTAATTGATAAAAAATATTATAGATTTAAGTGAAATATATAAAATGAGAAACATAAATTAATTATTAATACGTGCGCTACTGATGAATTAATTATTTTAAAACGCATAGTTATTCATATTTCTTCAAACAAACAATATCTAGTAAAATTTTATGATACTATGAAACAGTAATTAAAGTTTTCATTGGTCTACACATTTTAGTACGTATTATAAAAGAAACATGATATACAGTAATAAAGAAGAACACTGAATTATCGTAAGATATATTATAACAATCATTGTTAGGACTAAATTTTAAAAATAAGATAAAAAAGAATAATAACCAAAGCTAATGTTATTTCAAATGGGAAGGCATAATAAGATTATTAGATTATCAGATTATTATATAATATATTCACGCCCATCTACTCATTACCCACCTATACACACGCACACGCGCGCGCGCGCACACCTTAATATCATATATATATATATATATATATATATATATATATATAATAATATTTGATTATACATAATCGTACGCGGATGCATGACAAGCCAATCAAGAACCCGCAAATATCGAGAAAACGTACGAGGAACAATTTTGTATTTGCAATAATTCGACAAATATTAAATATCTTCGTAGCTTCTTGAATAACGAGCGTGACACCAGTTATAGTACATACAGTCACAATTAGTTAAAATAGTTTAAACATATAATTAGGCAGTTTACGCATCACATCGTATGATACAAGTAAAATAAAGAAAAGATAGATTGGCAACACTCAAGCAAGCTTATCTATCAATTAATTAGAAGTTGCAATGCAATAAAGAAGGAAAGCTAGAATCAATTATGTGTATAAAGAAGGACTCGGTCATTAAAATTGCGATAGAAATGTCGAAGTTAAAATCGTAGATGATGGATAGATAGTATAGTCGCACGATAAAAGCATCACATAAGCAAGAGTAATATAATTTAATAGATATGTCTCGCTTCGCTCTCTCACCCCCCATCTGCCCCTTCTGTCACTCTCATTCCCTACATCTTTCTATATGTCTTTCTTTTATTTGCTATATCAATGTGGATATAAACAAACATCTGTACAATTATCTTTTGATTAATTATTCTTTTTCAATTGAGATGCCAGCTTACAGTCGATTTAATTGGCATAATATAACGATCAATGTTTAATAATTTTCTCATATTTATAAGCATTTGAATAATTTTCAAATTCTTATCAAATAGAATGTATAAATAAATATCCTATTAAATTTTCAAATAATGACATATTTTAAAAGTTCTTCTTAAAATTTAGATCAATATATATAGGCATTCAAGTATAATAAAAATTGGCAATTAAAAACTTTAATTAATAGGTGTGGCCGAAAGTAAGGAAGAAAGTTTTGCTGCATAACGAAAATAAGGACCAAGTAGATCTCCTCATAATAACTTCGTCAAAGTCGTGAACGATGTAATATTACTTAATCAATGCTTAAAAGACATGAAAATATCCATCCATACCATATAACGTATTAATTTGAAATAATTATTTTACTAAACTACACTACTACATGGAAATTATCTTATGATATACATATTTTTATATGAAATTATACTGGATCAGCAAAATCTGTATTAGCGATAATTTCGTAGATAAATATTTTGATATCTTATTGAGCAATGGTTAATCGTTGTGTCTTATTTGCTTATAATTACGCGTGCAATGGAATTAAAAAAAAAAAAAAAAAAAAAAAAAAAAAAAAAAAAAAAAAAAAAAAAAAGAAAGAAATATTCAGGTTACACAATTTTACAAGTATTATTGTTCGAAAAATTTATTATAATGAATGATAATAAATGATATTCTGATTGCTAAATGTTTTCCATAAAATCATACTAAATATACCAATTAGCTTTTTTGTCCTTATTAATTATTCAATGAACTCTAAGAAAACAAATAGTCATATGAGTATTAATTATTCATTTAATTAACTTGATTTAAGAGATAAATTAAAACTTGATTAGTGTAAAACGATTGTAAATTTTCACATACTTGTTAGCAAATAACTAAATAGTTCGTAATCATATAGTAGGAAAAATTCTAACAATTCGCTTTTATTATTACATAAAATGTCGAAGGCATCATTGCAACTACATAATATGAAGCTTAGAATTAGCAATTAATTAAATAAATCCTATGTATTGTAATGCAATTAAATAACATATAATAAGTATATTTGTATATAGTTATTGCAGCTGTGGTAATCCGAATTAAAAGTGTTAGATGCATGTGAGCAATACCATAATGGCTATATTCAGTGGATATATGTTAGCCATCGCCTAATGAGACACTTAGCAAATACAGCTAATTATGCTCTCCCTGTCTGTCTCTCCATATCCTGAAATACGATGAGTAAATAATAGTAGGGCTACAAATCCATAATTGGAGCATTGCCGCCGCACAACTGACACTTGCATGCGCTTACGTAAGCTTGATAAAACAACCGCAAAGCTATGCCTGCGCCAATTTCCCTTAGTCGTGTTTCAGCAATTCGTATATGCGTGCTCGCATGCCAAGGCTTCAAAAATACACGCAGGCTCATATTCTCTCATTTGCGGTTGATTTCCACACGCACGAACAGATCTCATGTATTATACGGCGCCGGCTGATACAATATGAGTTTCGAATAGTCTAATTAACACGAGTTTTCAATTCTCTCGTTCTTTTCTCTTTTTTGTCCGCTTAGCTATTCAATTCTCGTGCACTTTTATTTCTTATGAAAAATTGCTTATGTTCATCCGCGCATGGAACGAACGAGTTTACAAGTTAATGTATTACGGGAAAATTTTTTAAAGTGGCTAATGATATATAATGTATTGATTCAGTCATTCATAAATCTATTATATAAAATCGTTCCAATGTGAAATAATAGGAGGATTAGAAACATATTTTTATTTGTATGATCAAAGAGCAATGAATTATTAATTGATAATTAAAAATCAATGACTCAGATACTACATACATAATTTGGAAGTAAGAAAAGCACGAAAAGAGAAAGTGATTGGTATTTGTATATGGAAAAGAGATTGATTATTCATTAGATTATTTCCAGCATTGAAGCTCGCGTGATTTTATCAGTTCTTTTACATTTACGCGATAATATTAAATAGATAGGATTGGGATTATTATATATCTTATTACACCCAGGATTTTTTAATTTTCAATCAACCATGAAGTATGAATATATTTAACACGTATAATTGGTGTGAATTAACAATTTTTATTTGACGAATGAATGTCAAATAGTTTATAATAGTTTATAAGGTTTGCATTGATTACGTGGGACAGGTAAATTAACGGCAGATATAAGATTTAAGCTACTCACGTTGTCGGTAAACTTTGTCTCGTACATATCTAAGCGACTGTTATTTTTTTCGAAGATCATTGTACCATTATACCAAGTGACATTAGCCGGAGGCCTCGCAGCCTGTACCTCGCACTGCAACAGGACCTTGGATCCTTGAATTACGTGACCGACCACTCCTTTGATATCCATTTTCATGGGGCGGACTGCGTGACGAAAAAAAGAAAAAAATATCATATATGATGCTCTCACGTGTCAGAAGTTGAGATTCAATATATATATATTTATATATATATATATATACATATACATATAAAAATATAAATTAACAGATAGATAGATATGCATAATTACAAGTTTGATTAAAATTAAATTGTAGTAATATGATCAACAGAATGTAATACATATTTTCGAAATAAATAATTTTAATACTTAAATACATGAATATACTTCAGGATAATTTACATTTTCAATGTTGTTAATTAATAAATAATTTAAAAGAAATAAATAAAATTTGCTTTTACATTGATAACAAAATTTATCAAATTTATTCATATGCAATATATATCCAATTCCCGATATTATATTACCTTAAAAAAAACTTTTAAGGTCATATTTTTATTGATAATTTTGAATATTATTGTTTCAAAATCCGCATTTATCATAAAATATAATATTACTGAAGTAATAATCAATTACTTCATCAGTTATAAGAACTAAAAAGTCTATTCTAAACGCTAAAACATTCATTAATACGCTAAAACTTTGAAAATCTTCAAGTCTTACAAAAGAAAAATATTAATTAATCATCATAGGAGAGTTTTGGTTATATGTTAATATATAATTAATATCTATCCGTAAAAGATATTTTTGGAAACTTTATGTTAATATCATTATGTTAGGACTTTATGTTCTTCTAGGGGAAGAAGCTTTATTAAATATTAAATAAGACGTAAATGTTAAATTTTTTTTTAGATATTTATGTTCATTTTGTTTTATTTAGTTAACTTCATTATTTTTACTTATAATTATCTGTTATCATATACGTAGTATTATAAAAGATATTAATTAATTGTTTATTAAAGTCATAATATCTCGTAAAGAAAAATTTCTCGTATTTAATTGATTTATGAAAATTATAAGATATTTAATAATAATATTTAAAAATTAATTCTAGATTTTATAATTGAAACAATACATATTTCCCATTCTTTGTACAAATTGAACATGTGATGTTATATATGTAGTGAAGTCATAAATTGGATATTAACAACTTCAATGAAGTATATATCGATTGAAAATAATAATTCAATCAAGCATTTAGCTTTAAGCAAAACGAGTGTCGCTTCGTATAAATGTTATAAATTAAAAAAAATAAAAAAAAAACCTTCAATTTATTTATATAGTCGACCTATATTTTGATTTTGAACAAGTACTAACGTTTCCAATAATAACAATGACAATCCGATTAAAGTCATTATACGTTTTGATACACAGCAGTTAGTTAAGGATAGAATCAGATTTACTGAAAAATTTAAACATGCGCTCAATGTTAAGAATTTTTTAAAATAAACAGTATTTATAATATTTTTAAATTACGATCGATAAAGTTAATTTTATATCCTGTAATGTTACGACTATATAAAGATATTTGTATGTACCTAGAGAAAATGAACTTATTAGGATATTAAATTAATGGGAGTATAATCTAATTTTAGTAATTCACGTTAGAAATAAATAATTCTAATTTATTGCATAATAATGAAATTAATGTAATTGTAATAATGATATATATGTAGTAAGGAGATACGAATGAAGCGTAACAGATTGAGGATTTTACATAGATAAGGGCCGATATTATCTATAAATAACTAGAAGGAATATTGCAATTTAATAGTAAAGAATGAGATGGCATTACTAAAAAAGCGAAATGATTTCAGACAGTCGATTCGATAAGAAATTTAATATAAATCCAGTAAGTAAATTTTTTCTGCTTTCCGTTCAAATCACGCGTATTGTCGCGTGAGTCGCATAATTCGTATATATGAGTTTGATTTATAATCAATAAACACTACAGAGCTTTTGACTATTGAAAAAGGCTTAGTACACACCTTAGTCTCCCTCATTATTCAAATGTTATAAAATTTAAATTAAATACAGCGCCCATTTGATAATCATAAAACTTTCTCATTTATCGACATTATAATTTATAGAAAGCACAATACGTAAATGTATGACACTAATTAAACACACAATTGTAGAATTTAGAAAGGTACAGGCTCCGAATAAATTATTAGCCCAGTAGAATCCGGAATTGATACTAAAATTTATCACCCTAATCATTAAGGAAAAACGGATTGTAAGTATTTTCAAGAAAGATTCATTTAGTTTTAGAAAGATATATGCACTTCGATTGTATAAATTAGGAAAGGCAAATAAACAAATGGAGGGGGGGGAGGGTTTCCATACCACGATATTTTTAGAATTAAAAATAAATTTGTAATCTGTAGTCTCGAATTAAATATAAATATAGAAATATAGATAGAAACATAGTATATTGAAATGTATTATAGATTGGCTAATATATTTTTTTTATCATATATTTGACTTTGCGGTACGTAATAATTGCCAAAGACTATAGATCGGTAATAAAATGTAGTATGTATAAAAAAAAAATTATAATTAGTATTCAGTGGCATAACCAGTCAATTACGAAATGTAATAATAGACTATTATATATTTGCTTCGATGTCTAGAGTAATCCTCGGGTAACCTATTTTGAGAGAGTGTAACAGATGATAGCAATTTTCTACTATACAGGGACATAAAGATAGTGAGCGAAAATGAGAAAAAGAGAAGGACAAAGATTGATAGATCAGCAGTCGATAGAAAATGTAATTGACAGGAGTTTAGCGAACGAGATATTGTCGTATAGAGAGGATATTTTGTACGAGTGCAGCCCGATAATCCGCTACAAGTATTTCTGTTACTTTGGAGAACTAACTTATGTGTTACTAGTGCATATACTCCATGTGGTTAGGTACGTAATCCTTTTATGAGCCGACGATCCAACATTTAATCGTATCTAGAGAATTGCCAATCGTGCACGACGTGCTTGACGAAATTACGTTGTTATACCATGTTTGTGTGTGTGTGTGTGTGTGTGTGTGCGCGCGCGCGCGTACTGTTTTATATAATTCACATAAAAATTTAATTAAAGTATTAACGTATCGTATTTGCAAAAATTTTTTTCCATAATAATTTAATCGTTCTTTTAATAAAGCAGAAGTAAACTTTCATAAAGAAAATATTCAACGAATATTTATTTATGAATGAAGTATGTATAAATATGGCGAACAATCGAAATTAACGATAGTTTCGAGAAATTATTACTTTAATAATCGATTGCTTTACTATCAGTGACATTGTTTATTAATAGATAATACATGCTTTATTTAGTAGAGTATAACTAAAAAATAACCTAAAAACATTGTTTTATACGAACGCTAAATAAACGTATGTGATTTATAATATGAAAGTCTGTGTAATTGCGCCGTTCATAACGTGTACTTGGTACATGCGACTTTAATGTTGCGGATCGTTGGAAAATGCAACATCAGGAGAATAGCGCTTCAATTTAAATACACTTGGCAGTCCATTATTTATGGAATTATGAACACGTGGGATTAAAGCAAGTCACTCCTTTGTACTTTCTTTGTATTTTTGAGTAATATTATAATTTAATGTGAACGAGAAATTGTAGCGTAGAGAAAGTAATCAGATTTACAAAATGGAATACTTAATAAATTTCTTATGAACTTTTTACGCAATGAATCATATAATTATACATTGACTATCTAATTAATTCATCTATAAATCGTATAAAGGTATCTGAATACCGAAAGTGATTGTATATAAATTATTGTTATTTTGAACGTGCGTTTTATTAAATTAATTTTTAAATTGCGTAGTTAATCTCTTATACGCTAGATTTTTTTCTTATAATACAAAAGATATTTTACATAAATGTTTCATTTCAATTTGCTTTTACATATAGTTTGGAAAATAATCAATTTTCACATAATTTATCACATATATATTTGTAATAAATCTCAATTACATATTTTACGATACACATTATTTAGTAGGTTAAATAAATTTATTGATAAATTTAAGCAATTATCATCGGTGTAAGTTTATGAATAATGTGCATAAGTAAAATAATGTAGTAAATAATAACTATGCAATACGTATAATGAATAAGTATGGAGATCATAATCACATTGAAAGATATAATTGAATTTTGTAAATTTATTTAACCCTTTGGAAGATTTCTGTTAATCAAGTTTGGATCAAAATACTACAAGTAAGATTAATATTTTTCGATTAAATTCTAAATTCTTATATATTCAAAATTTTGTAAAATTGTACAAATGCTAATCAATAATATATATATATATATATATATATATGGTATATGGATGTGTGTATATGATGCTTGTTTCTATAATAAATATATTGTTAAACTATGACAACTATTAGCTACTAAACATTGTTGATATTATATATGTCGGACGTTCTTTAGCATTGCTCGGCTATGAATTTCTCTAACAGAAAAGGCAGTGTACACACACACGCACGCACGCACACGCACGCACGCCCGCTCACAATGATAAATTTAAATCGTACTTTAAAGCTTACTTCGACGTGGAAAATCGAAGGTTTGCCTACCACCTGTCCCATATACAACAAACTTCACTAGGAAACTGCTTATATGTAGTGCTTATAACGAATTTCATGCTATATTTATGCTTCTTGTTCTACTAACTCTTACGAGTCATCCAACGTAGCATAGAATATCTTCATTGTTGTTAGACGGCAACGATATATCAAGAAACAATACTAGTATTAAATAATATAAAATTGAAAAATAAATTAAACATGTGACATTAAACATATTATAATATCTACTTAAATCGAAAAACATAAATGTATATCGTCGTAAATTTATGTTTTGATAAACATTGATTTTTAACTATTATGAGCACAGAAGCCACCATATATTTTTCTAAGAATCTGATATTATTGTATTGAAAAGATGAAAATAAGAAAGATTAAGTTAACTCACTAATTAAAAGATCGTACCTCGGTAATACTCTTTCTCTCTTATGCAAAGAGCTAGATTGTATTATATGGAGTATCTCGT